TCCAGCGCAGCTAATGCTGGAGGTGGGAGGTCTTTAGTGTAATTGTTTACATGTGATTTTCACCATTCACCACATGCTGATGCTCACCTATTCTCCCCAACTCTTCTTCAGTCTGTCTTATTGTCGCCATGCTGTCTCCCCCTCTCCTAATAACTGTACCTCTCTTTTTTATTATTTATTTTTTTCAGCTTTTTTTGTCTGCTTGTCTCTCCGGATGGGTATTTCTAACCTCCTGTGCTTCGCAGCCTATAGCTGAGCTAATTTCTCCATGGCTGTCACTGTGTCTCTCTCCCTGTCTCTTTGCGCATCTCTCTCGGTCGCTTCTTACTCTAACCCCCTTGTTATACCGCACTCTCTGCTGTCACCGCCTCGCAGGACCTCAATTTAACATTCCTCCTTCAGCTCTCCCATCGTTTCTTTCCTTCTTCACCCGCACTCTTTCGCCTTGTTCCCAGGTCCTTGGCTTAGATTTCTTTCTCTTGCACCTCTCACCGTATCCAGTCCTTGCTCTACCTCGGCACGTCTCTTCAAAGGAACTTGGAAATCCTGCTCTACACGCCACCTCTGGGTGCGGATTGTTTTTAACGAATCCTGCAAACCCAAGGCTGAGAACTGACACAATGATAAATTCACAGAAATTTCAAGTGTTTACATGCGCATGCATACACCGGTATGCACACCTGCATGGCTTCCAGTACACCAACCAAAGCATTTGTGCAGTCAGGCACTCACCAGCAAAAATAAAAACAACATCAATTTTTGAATACAAATAGCTTTTTTTTCTGTTTTGTTGTTGTTTTTTCTGCAGATTTAGCCAGATTTCAGTTTGCATTTCCCAAAAACGACGTGAAAAGGTTTCAGAAGCTTCGTGTGCATTTGCAAAGATTTTTCATGGAATTTAATGGCACAAAGTGTGCAGACTTTTACATCCAGTTATCTAAAATATAAAAATTCTAATTTACTCCCAGCAAATACAAACCAAGCTCCCATAAGGGAACTTCCCAAAGGGATACAGTGGAATAACTGGCCAAGTATTATGAGCCCACTCTCACGCATCCTCCAATATCCTCGAGAGGATTAAAAGTTGGTCCAGCAATTCACGACCAGAAAGAAAACCGCATTGTCCAGCTAAAAGATGGATTCTCCTCTCCAGCACTCTGGCATAGAACTCACCAGGTTGGCTGAGGAGTGTGACAAATTTTGAAGAAATAGCTTTAGCGCTACCATAAAGTCAAACATGCTACAACCAAACAAAAACCTCATCCTGGTGACGGGGGTTCTCACAGACCCCAGAGGCAAAATGTCTGTCACATCTTAGAAATGCTTTGATCTATTGCTCCAGTTTGTCACTATTTGGCCAATCAGTTTGTGACTCATTGTTTCCTGCTATCTGCTGTGACTAGTGCTTTTTTAAACATTCAAATGTACTGGGGTCCTGGGGGATCGCAGTCAAAAGCACCCATTTCTGCCTATGCAGTTTTAATAGATGGAACTAATTGAGCCCTATTTAGTGTAGAAGTGCTCTGTCAGTCATTCTGAAAGAGAGACACACAGACAGTCTGAGCATACAATGAGCCATAGCATGTACTATAGCTGCCTGTATAAGGCATTTGTTTTGCATTATGTACAATTAAAAAGAGCATTGCTGTTTGTATTATTATTAGTAGTAATTTAATTTCTTTACTAAATAGTAAACTACTGAGATCATCTTCTGCGTACCTTGGTTATTTGAGTTACTGATGCCTTCCTATCAGCTTGAAGCAGTCTGGCCATTCACCTCTGGCCTCTCTCTCACTGGATCAGCAGTTACTCAGACACGCTGATATATCAGCAGAAGTGAGCTGTTTGTTGATATATCTGTGTCAGCCTTTTTAATGGACAGTAAATAAAAATTTTAAGACAGATGGGAGAAACACCCTTCAACCATGTGGTAGTGTTGATGTTGAATAGTGCCAGAGGGAACTGCAACCGTCCCAGTTGCCAATACATGCTTGGAAATCCATAAACACAGGACAATAAAAAGTATATTTTTAAAATGCATATGGCAAGTTGCTGCCACATGATTGGCTTATTAGAGTGCCGTGAGAAATGATCAGATGTGATGTAGAAGATTGTCTGGTTCCACCTGATCAGTACTCTAAGCGACCAGCCTGAGTAACGGGCAGAACAATTACATTGTCTTCCACTAGAGGGCAGTACAACTACCTGCTCTAATTAAATGGGTTGCCAACTGCTAGTAAAACAGAAGAAGATGAAAAAGAAATTACATAATAGTCTGAAAAAGTAGTCAATCTGACCTGAGTCCTGTAGAAACTTCGGACGCAGATGAAGGCCCTAGCATGAGTAGTGCTCAGAAGAAAGCAGGAAAGGTATACTGGGGACAAACCGAGCCAATTCTGCTGTATCTGGTCCGCTGGGAAAAATAATCAATATGCTGTTTGTGACATTTTTGTTTGGTGGTGTGCTGTGCGATTTTTCTAATGTGAAATATGTGACGTGGCTCCAAAGGGTTGGGAAACACTGGCTTATTAGATTTCTAAATTAATGAGCAGTTGTACAGGTGTGTTCCAGCAAGGTGGCTGGAAATATTCCATATTTTTCTCAGTGTATTGCCAGTAAATTCAATTGGACTAATATGTTAGTCCAAATCTCAATGCTTTCTATGGAGGGTGTGTATTTTGTAGGTCCAGGGTTAGCTCCTAATAAAAAAATGTATAAAAGTAAATGAAAAACAAAAAGAATTTTCGCATTAGTACACTCATTATTGTAAACAGACTAACTAATGTCCTGAAGTTTTCGCTGAATTCCCAGCAGCAGATCTGGTGTGCTAGCTGTGGTATTTTTCATTTTTGCATCAGGACTTTGTATGTGGGCTTGTGTGAAAGAACGTCTACAATATGTGCTTGTTTTTGCGAGTGGACACATGGCCTTGTGCGGTGTGCCGCTCATTGATACGATTTTAATACTCATCGTGCGCAATCGAGCTCAATCGCAGAGGAAGAATGTGTTACGCTGGTAACACAGGTGATTGATCATATTACATGTGATCACGAGCACACGCAAAATTATGCTTTCTCTTTTGTTGCAGCTTCATGGGTATGACACCTGGCAGTATAACACAGGTGGCACAACACGTGCTGAAGCACACGCTCTCTGACTGAGTGACTGATATCACACGTCAGACAAACGGCTAACAACAATAAAGGCGACTCATATGTGTTTCGACACTTCTGAAGAGCTCATTTAAAATCAAAGCACCATAGCTCATATTAGCCTCCCACAGCCCTGCTCATATGCACACTACACATGAGCATGAGTGATTCCTCTCCTCATACGGATACAAGGCACACTGGCAGTCATCACTTCCACAATGCCCATACACCTGTGCAAAAAGGTGATCAGTCAGCATGGCAGGCAGCTTGGGGAATGACAGAAACCAAAAATTCTAGCTTTACACTAAAGGGATATATCCATCTGCAGCCTGCATTAAAAAAAAACATCTGGGAAGGATTCTTGCTGGGGTTAAAAAGGAGACTGTATATAAAGAATAGATGTAACAACTGCAACCTCTCATTTTAAAGCCTCAACTTGAGCATTTTTGGCTGTTGCAATCCCATTTTTATTAAAGCAGACATGAACCATGAATCCCTGAGTGAGAGATGGTTCTGACTGATAAACCAAAGACAGCATGTTCATACAGTGATGTCTAGACAATCACAAGCTAACCATCCGCTAAGGCAAACCCTGCTTTATTATCTAATTTATTCTGTAAATAAGACCATCATTTACAAAAATGAACACCAGCATCAACTTAAGTTGATGAATGGCGTCTATGTAGACAACTGGGTTCCTTTTTGTTAATAAAATAAAATATCTCTTTTTTCAAATGTATCTGTGGCATCGCTGTGGCTTAATTTCATGTAACCAATCAAAAATCAGATGTGGTAGGATTCACGCTGGTTACACGACTCATCACCCTGATAACCAAGAAAATGAAGGAGAGGCTTGTGCTGTGATATGCAGTTAAAACAGCTATTTTAACACAAACCATGATTTTTTTATAGTATATCACAATATACATCCATCCATTCTCTTCCGATTATCCAGTTTTAGGGTCGGCGGTGGGCTGGAGCACATCCCAGCTGTCACAGGGCAAGATATTTAAATGACATCCATATAGACTGCATTTGCATGGCTAATGATCTGTTCTATCATTTGTGCATGATAGCATTTTTCCAACTGAACTCAAAATAGAAAGCCAGAGCCTTATTGATTCTGTTGTACATGCAAATGCTCTGCAATTCATGCAAGGATGTGCTAAAAGGCCGGAGACAAACCGCCTCGAAAAAATGACACTCAACTCTGCCACTGCAAGCATTTGCATTTGGATGTGTCACGCTTTGGATTGAGTTTTGCGGAGATATTTCATTATGTTTGCTTTAAACAGATGGACGTGCTGATAAAAAGAGGCTGATTCGCAGTGAGTGGAATCAAGCTGGAGATTCATTTGTCAAAAAACCCAACAATACACTCTTCCTCGACGGGAGACAAATAAGGAAAACAGGTAAGTAGAATGCAGCTCAGCTGTATTAAAGTCCTCGCTGAAAGGGCTGTTCAGTGATGAATTGTGTGAGTTTATATAGCATTATTGTTTAGTTCCAGGTAATTCCAGGTTAATAGGCTTAGGCAGCATGTTGTTAGCTGTGCTTCGACTCATAGGCAAAACAAAACTGTTCTCCACAGACCGGCCTACACTACCCGTGTCATCGTCTGTCCTCCCCCTCATCATCTGTTTCCTGTCTCCTTTGCTGCCTTTTACCTTTACAAAATGACTCCATATGTGCGCTCTTTTACTGCTCATTCTTCTAGCTCTGGTTTTCTCCTCCTCAGCCACTATCTGTGGTAACCTTTACGAAACCCTTCCCTCCTCTCCTGCCCACTCTTTCATCAATATCTCCCTCCATCTGTCCACCCCTCATTCTCTGTCATCCTTCATTCACCTTGTTGAGCGTGATGACCGCCTCTTGGTTCAGTCCGGTGATATTGAACGTGTCCCCGCTCTCCCCCTCCAGGATGGTATATTCCAGCTTGGCGTTCTCACCCAGGTCAGCATCCATTGCGGAGATGCGTCCTATCTCAGCGCCCGGGATGGCCAGCTCGGAAACGGAGAAGGACCACATACCTGGGGAGAGACACGCAACGGCACATATTAGAGGAGCACTGTCATTTCATTAGCTCTGATACGCTTCATTTGTCAGTTAAACATTTAATTTTGTCTTTTGAAGTGTATTCAAATTGCTGTTCCCCACCTGCGCTGAGCCAATATTTACAACATTTTGCTGCGATAAGGCAGCGTTTAAATTAAAAGAAGTGAGAGAATGAAGGAGAGAGATAAAAGCAGAGTGTGCATTTGAGCGCTCCGCACAGATATTATTAAAAGACAGGTAGAATATGGCCAGAAAACCTACTGTTAAAAAAAAACTAAATTAAAAGAGCCTAAGATTTAAAAAAACAGAAGGGTTTAAGGAGATAAAGAAAAAGAAAAGATTAAGAGATGGTTAAGAGAAGCTGCTCTGGCTCTCTGAGTTGTCCATTCATTCCTTCTGCTGAGACATATTAATCAAGATAACAGGCTCGTTCATGTGTGCTGGTTTATGTTTAGCTGTCAGCCCATTAAAGCAGTACATTATCAGTCCTTTTGCTGGCTTTGCAGTTTACATAATATGTTCCTCTTCTCATCCATCGGGTATGTGATAAAAGCATGGAGGACCCAAAAAACTGATATTTCTATAGAAAAAGCAGACGCACATGCACTTAAATTCAAATAGCACCTTTGTCCTAGCACGCACACAGTGGCCACCGACAAGAATAAGTGAGGTAGGGGAGATAGAAAGTGAGTGAAGGGAAAAGGTAAGATATCACCATTTGGCACACAACAGAGCTGTTATCAGCTCAGCTAAAGCTAAAGGAATCAGATAGACCTGTAAATGTGAGCGAGAACAACATCACACAAACACACCGGCTGACGGAATAAAAGATAGCCCACCCTTGACAAGTGTCTGGTCCCACAACACGCAATCTGAAGAATTCGGCAAATTTGACAACATCACAGTGAGACAAACTTGTGAGGTTATGTGACTTTGTGGATCGGGATTACAGACATCAAAGTCTTTTATCCATGGAAACCAACGTTATTTCTCACCGTGTTTGTTGTCTTTCCAAGTCTCTTAATATCAAATCTGTAATGTGGGCTTCCGTACTAGTAATTGCAGTACTCTCCCTCCAACAAGTCCTCCAAGTTAAAGTCAGATAAAACAGGCTTGTGAAACCTCAACAACAAAGCTTCTCTGAGATAAGTTGATGCAAATATAACAAGGTTTAAGTTGGTTTTATAACAACAGCAACAACAACAAACTTTATTCATATAGCACATTTAAAACCAATGGTGTACCAAAGTGCTTAATAATAATGATGGATTGGATTTATATAGCGCTTTTCAAGGCACCTAAAGCGCTTTACAATGCCACTATTCATTCACTCTCACATTCACACACTGGTGGAGGCAGCTACGGTTGTAGCCACAGCTGCCCTGGGGCAGACTGACAGAAGCGAGGCTGCCATATTGCGCCATCGTCCCCTCTGGCCAACACCAGTAGGCGGTAGGGTAAAGTGTCTTGCCCAAGGACACAACGACCAGGACAGAGAGCCCAGGGATCGAACCGGCGACCTTCCGGTTACAGATACGCTTCCCAACCCCCTGAGCCACGGTCGCCCCATAGCCACAGTCGCCCCTTAACATGTAAGAGGGTAAGATGAAGTAAGAGGGAAGGCTGAGGGCTACGGCAAGGTACCAAAACATGCTAGCAGGTTAGATGGCATTAAAAAACAAAAGCAAAAGAAATGCATATAAAAGCATAAAAGAGCAATAAGTGTAAGGGATAAAACAGTCAAAAATTTTAAAATGATTAAAAATAATTAAGAATAAACCAAAGATAAGAATAAGCATTAAGCTAACTAACAAGCAAGCTTTAACTGGTAGAAAAGGCGAGGCTAAATAAGTGGGTTTTTAACCGCGATTTGAAGGATTGAATGGAATCGGACTTGCGTATAGCGATGGGGAGGTTATTCCATAGATCGGGTGCAGCCAAGGCAAACGTGCGGTCACCTCTAGTCTTCAGCCGGGGTCTCGGCAGTACCAAGAGTGACTGGGAAGATGATCTTAGTGCTCTAGTAGGGGTGTATAATCTAAGTAGCTCAATGAGGTAGCTTGGCGCTATATTGTTAATAATTCAGAAGGTGAGCAGCAGGATTTTGAATTGAATGCGATACTTAACGGGAAGCCAATGCAGATCAGCAAGGACAGGGGTAATAGAGACACACCGCTCAGTAAGGAGACGAGCAGCTGCATTCATTATCAATCCTAAGACACTCTTAAAATATTAAATTTTATATATAAAAACACCCAGCACGCCCCTGCGGGCGGTTTATCCTTCAAGCTCGGGTCCTCTACCAGAGGCCTGGGAGCTTGAGGGTCCTGCGCAGTATCTTAGCTGTTCCCAGGACTGCGCTCTTCTGGACAGAAGAGCGCACCTAGTGCTCCGATTACCACGGGGACCACCGTTACCTTCACCCTCCACATCCTCTCGAGCTCTTCTCTGAGCCCTTGGTATTTCTCCAGCTTCTCGTGTTCCTTCTTCCTGATATTGCTGTCATTCGGAACCGCTACATCGATCACTACGGCCGTCTTCTTCTGTTTGTCTACCACCACTATGTCCGGTTGGTTAGCCACCACCATTTTGTCCGTCTGTATCTGGAAGTCCCACAGGATCTTAGCTCGGTCATTCTCCACCACCCTTGGAGGCATCTCCCATTTTGACCTCGGGACTTCTAGGTTATACTCGGCACAGATGTTCCTGTACACTATGCCGGCCACTTGGTTATGGCGTTCCATGTATGCCTTGCCTGCTAGCATCTTGCACCCTGCTGTTATGTGCTGGATTGTCTCTGGGGCATCTTTACACAGCCTGCACCTGGGGTCTTGCCTGGTGTGATAGACCCCAGCCTCTATGGATCTTGTGCTCAGAGCTTGTTCTTGTGCTGCCATGATCAGTGCTTCTGTGCTGTCTTTCAGTCCAGCTTTGTCCAGCCACTGGTAGGATTTCTGGATATCAGCCACCTCCTCTATCTGCCGGTGGTACATACCGTAGTTTCTCATGATTTTTTGTTTTTTCTAAGAAAATAATTAGGCAAATTTACCAATTGGGTTCTTCTTCAAGCATCTCTCATGTGCGGTGAATTAGAGATCCAAGAAGACTGTTTCAGTATATATATATATATATATATATATATATATATATATATTGTTCAGTTATTCAGGTTTTCCCAAGGCAATTTCAAGACACTGTTACAGAAACAGCAATCTTAAATCTGAAGGTACACTGTGTTTTCAGAACATTTCAGTTAACACCATGATGTTGCTAATTTAATAACAGATTAACATTGTCATTTTTGAAGAAACTAGTTTTGGCAGGAGATGATATGACAAATGCTACTGAAACAGCAGACAGATGCATTATGTGCTGCATGTGCGGCCTCTAAATGTTTGCTTTACTTTTCTTCTGTAAAGATATCGTAGAGCTATTCTCACATCAACTGTTCTCACAGTACAAACCAATTTGAACTAATGGTATCAAGCTGAGAGAACATTTATTCAAGACTTCGCACAAGTTTTTTGCAAAATGCAGAGATTTCCATCCAGTGTTCATGCTTTGTTAGTTCTTAGTCGCCCTCAGAATGCTTCTATTCTTCCAGCATTGGGATTTACTGCCCATGGAAGAAGAGGTAGGGATGGCACAGGCATACCCTCAGAAAGACAACAAGAAACATCACAAGACACTCGTGGACCTGGAGCCCACAAGAATTTGTCACTGGCCTATGCTGCAAGGAGGGCAAAGGGCCCTGAGAGCTACATGAAACATGTAGCTTGTCACCTTTTTCAGGTAACACAAATCTTAAGACCTCCTGGGAGGCATTGAGAGGAAAACACATTCTTTCGCTGCCACAAGCCTGATTCAAGGATTCAAATTTTTGAGCAGCATTAGAAAAAAAATGATGCAATTCTTAAATTCTTAAAATGTTTTGAACTGCACATTGTTACAGAAGCACAGGATATTTTTATTCCTATATGTATCCTGTATCTGAGTAACTGATGCATGAGAAGGATAGCTAATTTGTCCTTCCGTGGGCTTTACAGTAGGTAAAAAAACCCAATTCATCACAAATAGTTCTCATTTTCTTTACTTGTATTTTATTTTTCATGGGTTTATGATTATCACCTCGGGGTACACCACAGGCTGGGTCTTGATGGTGCTTTGATAAGGTTTACACCCTCAAATGTTTTGGAAGGGCCGAGCAAAGCCACAGGCTGAAGCATTTCTGTCTCGCTGTGCCGCTATGAAACATTAAAAGCAATAAATAGTTAATTGCGAGTGCTTATGGTTTCATTCAACTATAAGCACGGCGGTTAGCACACGTCACACTTTTTTTAAGTATAATTTTTTCACTTCATTCAAGCACATTTTCATTTACTGACCCTTTTGAATTTGAACATTTGCAAGAGAAAGCACATTTTTAAGAGAGCTGTCATGTAGCTGTGGCTGCATCATGTATGTAAGCTCCTTGGCTCTGACTACTAACTTTCGTTGCCTTTGTTGTGGTGCAACTGGTGCATTTGTCTAGATTATGTTTTCTTTTCTTTTTAACTTAGTTAGGCCTCCAGTCACACAGACATAGGGATAAGTTGGAAACCACCTGGCAACAACTGGTTGTCAAGGAAAAATGAGTATCCCCTTGCTTGTTAGTCAGGGGTTGCAAGAGGTTGCTTGCTGTCACTAGGTGAAACTAGCCATTGTGACATATGCGGTGCTGCACTGAGAGCCTCCTATGGCTGCTAGCATAGCCTCAGTTGTGCCTGTTTTTTAAGGAACACACAAACTTGTCTGCAAGCACGTGGCAACTATTTGCCAAGTGGTAGTGAAACTGTCAAGAGTGGGATGGAAAACCACACACCACTCATCTACAAAGTAAAAGCTGTGTCCTTTAAAACATGTTAGTGGTAAGGCACAACTTTTACTTTGAAGGTGAACATTCCCCATCTCCAGTTTGTGTTGCTTTTTTTTTTTT